TGATACATATCCTACAAAAACACATTTTGAAAAAAAAAACGTAACGAAAAATTAATACTAATCACTAGCCTAACGCTAGTTTTTTTTTCGATTTTATTTCACTTGGCAGATACACAATGAATCATATGGGAAACTATTTTCAGTTTTATAAAAAAAAATGTTAATTTTAACAAAAAGTTCTGCGTGTTCTAAAACCTAAAATAAAATCATGAAATATTAAATCTTTTCATTTATATACGTGGTTTGTCAAAAATTATGAACGTGGATATAGTTAAGCCTTGTATAAAATTCATATTTTTTGAAGAACGTCGTATATGACCAAAAATTATAATATCTGATGGTTTTTCCAGTTTTTACATCATTCAGAACTTTTTATAAGGAGTAATTTTTTTTCATAAAATTTAAAATAAATAAGTCCCACACATGGTGCCAACTTAATTGGACACATTGTATAAAAATTATGAGTATAAATTGTATAAATTACTTTTACGGAAGGTCCATGAAGAAAAATATTTTTTATATAATACTTAATAATACTAATAATATAATGCCTTTTTAATTACCGTAATGTATTACTTATAAAACAATTTTAGTGTCATGTATAATTGCGAATTCAATAGGATAACAACACCAAAATTAAATAGCTTTTAAAATAGTTACCTATTATTACTTTATATTGCATGCTTGTAAATATTGGTACTTGGCTTTACTAAGAATTTTGCATTTATTGGTTATTAATCACGTGCTATTCATTTATTTTTCTCTGCCAACTTGTTTTTATGCAAATGCAATTTAACTCTCAACTTACTCGATCTCTTAGTTTTAAATTTTGTGTGAAATATAAGATGCTATGGCAATATATTTATTCTTCAAATAATACATGGTCGTATAAATAAAAAACTGGAAGAAGAAATAGATGATAGTCAGTGTGGGTTCAGAAATGGATCAGGAAGCAGAGAAGGGTTATTTGCTTTTAATGTGTTAGCTTAAAGATGCATGGATATGAATGTTGATGTGCATCCAAATTCTAAAGACAAAAAACATAGACCATAGGAACTTACGAATAATAAAAACCTCTACTGGAATCAAAGAGCACAAATCGTAATAGATAACGAACCCAGTCCAGAAATTGAAATCAGGAGAGGAGTTAGGCAGGGATGTATTATGTCCCCATTACTATTTAATGTATATAGTGAAGCCATTTTTGAAGAAGCATTACTATCTCAAAGTGAAGAAATAATAATTAACAGAAGATCTATTAACAACATAGGATATGCAGATGACATCGTGATTATGGTAAGCTCTGCTGAACAACTCCAATTACTGCTAAACAAAACAAACATAATATATAAAAGACAAAATACATGATAATAACAAAGAAAACAAATATACCAACAAACATACATTTGGGAAATGTACCGATAGAAAGGGTTGATAAATACAAATACCTAGTAACCTGCATTTCAGACAATAATGATCAAACAACCGAAATAAGAGCCTATTTTCCCAGCAAAATTACATAATGCTCATGGAACCTAAAACAACGGCCCTCAGTCCCGGGCACCTCGTAAACGAGAAGAGGGTGCTAAGAGTCCCCCGGAGGAAAACAAAATGAATAGGCACATGGAATGTGAGAAGTCTATATGAACCGGGAAAGGCCGCAAATTTAATTCAAGAAATGAAAAGACTTGATATTGATATACTGGGATGCAGTGAGGTAAGATGGCCTAATACAGGTACCTGTGTGATGGGCAAATATACAGTATTCTATTCTGGAGATGAAGGCACTCAAAATAAAAACGGTGTAGCAATAATTACATCTAATGAAATTCCAAAATTAGTTTCTGGATTACTACCAACATCAAATAGAATAATGCTAATAAAAATAGACAGCAAACCAGTCAATATGAATATTATCCAGGTATATGCCCCAACTAGTCAAAGCACAGAAGAAATAGAACAATTTTACGAAGACCTAAACAAAACTCTACTGCAGACAAAGAAGCATAAAACCAACATAATATTAGGAGACTTTAACGCCAAGATTGGAAAAGGAAGAGAAGATGATACGGTGGGGGAGTTTGGCCTCGGAATAAGAAATTAGAGGGGAGATAGATTGCTTCAGTTCTGTAAAGAAAATCAGTCCAGTATAATGAACAGCTTTTTCAAGTTACCACCCAGATGTCTCTACACGTGGAAATCTCCAGCAGATGGAATAGAAGGACCCATCACAATAAATCAAATCGATTACATAATGGTCAACAAAAGATAAAAAAACGCAGTAAAAGCATGCAAGACATACCCCGGAGCTGACATCCCCACCGACCACAATCTTCTTCTTGCAACAATTAGAATAGAATTTAAAATAACAAAAAGAAATAAGCAAATAATAGCTATTAACCCAAATAAGCTTAAAAAATAATCCACCAGTAATCAAATACGGGAAGAAATACATAAGACACTTAAGTAACAGAACAGTACAAGCGACACAAACTCCCGAGGTAGAATGGCACTATATTGAGAAAACACTTACAAGAGTAACAGAAGACTACCTCAAATAAGATACACGAAAAAAGAACAAACCATGGATGACAGAAGAAATTCTAAACATGATGGACGAAAGAAGAAAATACAGAGGTAAAAATGAAACAATATACAAGCAAATACACAAGAATATCAGAATAAAGATCCAACAAGCCAAAGAAACCTGGCTAAGTGAAAGATGCCAAGAAATTGAAGATTTGGAACAAAGACATGATACTTTCAATCTACATAAAAAAGTAAAAGAAGCCGCTGAAATATTTAAACAAACTCCTACGTCTTTCATCAAAGATAAACATGGGAACCCGCTACTGAACATAGAATATCAAATAGGTAGATGGAGAGAATACGTGGAAGAGATGTTTCAAGACCGAGAAAGGACGAACATTTACATGCACGAGGTATCGACTGGACCTTATATCACAAAGCAAGAAATTATCAAAACGGCAAACCAGATAAAGAACGGAAAGCTGTTGAGGAAGATAATATCCCAATTGAAATAATAAAGATATTACTAGACGAACACATCGAAGTAATATAAGATATATTTAACAAAATATACGAAACAGGCATAATACCAAATGATTGGCTGACATCGGTGTTTATACCACTACCAAAGAAGAGAAACTCCAAGAAATGTAAATACCATAAGATTATTAGCCTGATGAATTATATTTTGAAGCTTTTCCTACGAGTAATACACAATAGAGTATACAATAAACTAGACGAATACACTGGTCAAACTCAGTTTGGTTTTAAGAATGGGTTCGGAACAAAAAAAGCACTTTTTTCAATACGTGTACTAGTTGAAAGATGTAGAGATATCGATTCTGATGTATACTTGTGTTTTGTAGACTTTCAGGAGGCGTTTGACCTGGTGAAACATGATAAACTAATAGATATTTTAAGGTCATGTAATATCGACGATAAAGACTTAAGGATCATTTCAAACCTCTACCAAGAACAAAAGACTAAAATCAGAATAAAAAGCAAAACATCTGGAAAAATCAATATAGAGAAGGGAGTAAGACAGGGATGTGTCCTATCACCTTTGCTGTTCAATGTTTACTCTGAGAAGATATTTCAGAAAGCTTTGGAAGGCACCTCGGATGGTATAACTATAAACGGGCAATGTATAAATAACCTGCGATATGCTGATGACACTGTCATACTGGCAGATAATGCTGAAGCCTTCCAACGCTTAATGTACCGAGTAACGACAGCCTGTAGAGAATTTGGAATGAAATTGAATACAAAGAAGACAAACACGATGGTCATCAGCAAGCACCAAAACAGAAGGGTGAAGTTCAATGTCGACGGAACAGATCTGGAAAGAGTAACAAAAACAACGTACCTTGGAAGTAATCTTGATAAAACCTGGGACCACTCACTAGAGATAAGTATACGCCTGGAAAAGGCACGTACAATGTTTTACAAAACGTAAAAAGTTCTATGCAACCGCCAGCTGGACATCTCATTGAGAACTAGAATACTTAAGTGCTATGATTTCTCCACCTTGCTCTATGGTGTTGAAGCCTGGACAATGACAGAATCAACACAAAAAAGAATCCAAGCATTTGAACTCTGGTGTTACCGTAAAATGCTCAGAATATCCTACATGAGCCATACGACAAATGCGGAAGTCTTGCGGAGGATGAATAAGGAAAGAGAGCTTATGCTTATAATAAAAGAACGGAAAACACAATATTTTGGTCACATCATAAGAAATCAAAAGTATGAATTGCTCCAACTTATAATCGAAGGCAAAGTCAATAGCAAAAGAGGACCAGGAAGAAGACGCAACTCTTGGCTTAAAAACCTACGGCAATGGACGAACATGACCTCCAGAGAACTATTCAGGGCTGCTACAAATAAGATTAAATGGGCAAATGTAATGGCCAACGTCCTTAAGGATAAGGTACCATAAGAAAAAGAAGACTTCAAGGAACATTTTAAAAAAAGAATTGTTAATATTGAGTTATGCGCTTACCAATACACTTTGCGATTCATTTTTATATTATAGATTGTTTAGACAACAGTGAGTGCTTGTAATTTAGTAGGTATAATTTTTATTTAATAGCAATAGAGTTCAAATCGAGTCTACATTTAGTTAGAAAATATTTGTATGGGAAAAAGAAAATGGCTGTCCGGAAATTATTCTAATATTTCACAACGTAAACACCATCAGACTTCATGAAACATTTTAAAAAAAGAATTGTTAAAATTGGTTCATGCGTTTTTGAGTTATGCGCTTACCAACACATTTTGCGATTCATTTTTATATTATAGAAAAAGACAATAAATTAATAAAAACAGTTCAGACTCTTGGGTAAAAAGTAATCATTTTTGAGCTCTTGAGAACTTTCTCAGTGTAAGAATTTCATTCCGAAAATAAAATGTATGAATTTTTCGTTGAATAACACTACTTGTTTCTTCATCCAAATCAATATTTTTTCTACCTCTCATTTTACATCTTCCTTGCTTTTTATTTTCCGATGTATTTTTGAGGCTACGATAAATACAGATACCGGATACTTTTGCTAAACTGCTACAAATGTCGACCTCTTGGCTAACATTTGATGCCACTTTTGTGCTGACAATTCCTTCATATCGTATCACTACCTTCTCCTCTGACGTTAACATTTTCCGTCTCGTTTGCGACTTTTCATTTTTGGAATCAACATCAGAATATTGCTGTCTTCTCTTTGAACAACTTGGTTGTTCGTCCATTGTATTTCAATAATCACAGAACATAATTAAAAATTCGCTATAAAAGAACAAACTCCAACATCGGTTCATCACAAACTTTAATCGTACAAAATATAATCACAAAATGCAACACAAGTATTCTCTCCAGCACCGCCTATGTAAATAAACGTATGTAAATTCCTGCTTCTGCACGGGCGGTGGTGTTACCGTTGCGATTCTTTACAAATCCCCAAATTACCAGGCCATTGAAACAGTGTACATTTAAATGTATTCAGCGTTTAAACTCTTCCACACTCACTCACTCTTCCAAATAGCGGATTTTTATTTAAGTTGAACTAGTTTTGGACTATCGTTAATAATATCGTTAATAATAGCAAAGGATGTTCCTACACTATATAGATTTTTCGACAATATAAAAGGTGCACTTTTTATTTAATTTACACAGTTCTAAGTTTGCTTTTGAAATTTATTTAAAAGCTCTAATTCTGTGGTTTTTATTTTTTGTTGGCTGAATATTGTGATCAGATTTGGCTAACCAGTTTATAGATTAAAAGTGTAGACACTCGACTGCATGTTAACATGAAGATAATTGATGATGTAATAAATTCGTTCCTCATAACTCTCACTGCTAAATACTTGAATCGTCATAGACGAATATGCCATTGAACCTCTAAAAATCATACGAACAAGCTGAATTTTGCTAAAAATTTAAATTTTAAAGCCCAAAAAAAAAGAAAATAAAAAGTTTACCACTCCTACCGCCAGGCTTCCGTCTAAAACTCCCCTCGCAAGGGAACCCCTTCCTCGACGAAAATTTAAATTCAGCATTTTTTTTATTAATTTCTAAAAATTTCTTATATTTGTTGCCAAAACTAAAAATCAAAATTTTATGTTAAAAGTTTTGCAGATTGGGGTCTACAAATTGAAACTCTCTAGCGGCCGGTTACTGAAAGTAATAAATTTTACTGATTTCACGAGAATTAAAAAAAAATGGCAAAAATCGCGCAACGTTGATTTATATGGCTTTATAGAACCCGATTTCATGTGTGGCAAATTCAAACATTGCTTACAAAAATGCACTCTTCACCTTTAAAATGCATCTTTAGTGTTGTCGATAGACCACTCTGATCAATAGATATCGAATTTTTACTGTTGGCCGATACAAATTTTATTTAAAATTGATTCCGAGCGTGTAACTGAAATTTAAAAAGCCGGTTGCTTCAGGCGTTGTTTCTGAGAGAATAATTTAGTCTGCAGAAAAAGTGATCACCATTATTGTTCAACATTCTTTCGGCTACAGGGTTGCATACGTTTGCATCATTTTTTGGGTGGAAAAGTTGACATTCTTAGCAAAGTTTTTTAAATTTATGTTTTCCTTGACGAAGAAAGGACAAATAGTTAGTTCGTTTGGTATATATCTCGTGGTATACATTGATTTTTTAAGAATAATTGATTTATTAACACTGGGGATTATCGGCTTTATATGTTTCCAATAGCGACAATTTTGTGGTGGTGCTACTCTATTTATAGTGAAAGTGACTTCGTCAGTAATGAACACATTTTTTTAGAAAATTGATATATTCCTGTTTCAATATTTCAGTCGATTTGATCATTCCCTTTTCTTATTGTTGTACAAACTTATCTAGCACTTATATCGTTATCTCTCAAAAGACGTATAGTTTCAACTTTTTCTCTCAAACTTATCTTGCAACTACGACACAAAATGATATTATAAGACTTGGAAGCAAATATAGTTGTAGTGGCACTGCAATTTGTTTACAAATGTTAAATAATATATTTAACATGTGTATTAACAAAATTAAACAGCATACAAGATATTATCAAATTTTTGCACGAGAGATTAAAGTCTTATACTGAAATGTTTCTAGGGGAATATCAGGCAGGATTCAGGCCTGGACATTCAACCATTAACCAGATCTTTACACTACGACAGATCCTCGAAAAAGCGCAAGAGTTTAACATAGATATGTATCATATTATTGTCGATTTTAAAGCGGCATATGACAGGTCTTAAGACCAAGTCTTTACAACGCTATGAATGAGTTAGGAATTTCAAAAAAACTCGTATGTTTGATAAAAGTGACAATGACGAAGATGCTATCAGCAGTAAAAATTCAAAACGACTCGTCAACCCCATTTCAAATACATAGGGGTTAAAGGCAGGGAGATGCGCTGGCGTGTCAGCTTTTTAATGTCGCCTTAGAAAAAGTTGTACGAGACGCTAATTTAGATAGCAGGGGAACAATATTTAATAGATCAGTCCAAATTCTAGCATATGCAGACGACGTGGACATTATAACAAGAACTAGGGCGAGAACTGCGGAAATCCTAACCGAGCTAAGTAGCAGCAGCAGAACGAATGGGGTTACATATAAATCAAAATAAAACCAAATTCATGGCGACTAACACAAACACAAGAGCTGGAAACGTTGACACAAATTTAATCATCAATGACCAAAACTTCGAAGCAGTCAATGAGTTCATATATCTAGGGACATCGGTTAACCCCAATAACAATACATCTGAGGAAATAAAAAGGCGAATAATAATTGCAAACAGGTGTTATTATGGTCTATCAAAGTACTTAGCTAACAAACGTCTGTCTCAAAAAACTCGTATAAGGCTGTATAGAACACTGATAGTCCCCGTTCTCACATACGGATCAGAGGCATGGACGCTAACGAAAACAGATGAATCCGCTCTATCCATTTTTGAAAGAAAGGTGCTACGCAAGATATTTGGAGCGGTCTGTGAGAACGGAATATGGAGGCGTAGATATAACTTCGAACTGCAGAATATCTACAAGCATACGTTTGGTGGTAAAGATATTACCACTATAATTAAGCGAAACCGCCTGCAGTGGGCAGGACATGTAGCCCGGGCCCCTGAATCGAACATGATAAAAAAGATTCTAACAGCGCAACCTGTGGGAATGAGACGACGGGGTAGACCAAAGCTGAGGTGGATGGATGGGGTAACACAAGATGCGGAGAAGATCGGAGTCGGCAACTGGAAAATTCAAGCAAGGGACAGAACAGAATGGCGTAGAAAGCTTGAGAAGGTCGAGGCCCTCTAAGGCTGTAGCACCAAGATGATGATGATGATTAACAACATTTTCTTGGCAACTAAGATGTAAGTTAAAATATTAAGTATTCAGGGTTCAGGTATTCAACAGGGTGTTGACTCGTAGTTTAATGAGTTTTAATATTTTAACTTGTTATAACTTAGTTATTAATAAATATATTTTAATACAATTTTTGTCATAGCTATTTGTATCTACCTAGAAATCTTTTAATAGAAAAATCGCTAAAATAATATAATGAAAACTCTCCATTTTCGACATAATTTAAGTATCGTGAGAATTTGAATAAATATTTTAAATTATGTCCCAAAGTAGTCCTTTTATTACATGACATTAAAAAAAAATGATTAAAATCGGTTACAAATTCCAAACTTCATGGAGGTATCTCCAATCTTAATTGATCACACTCTATATGTACAAATTTTCCAAAACTGATGGATTATTATTATGTAGATGAAAAAATAACTAATAGTAATGCATAAAATTACAAATAATAATAAAATTCCAAACAAGAAAATAAACTTGACCAATTTATTTCATATAAATACCAGTTACTGCCAAGGCTATAGTATAAAATGCATGATCTCTAAAACACGGGTTAGTTTACAATCATTCATCGTACTATTAGCAATTAATACACAGGTCCAATTAAAAATGACAAAGTTCTTTGTGGTACTGGTGTTAACATTATCAGCTTCTCTAAGCTATGCAACAAATATATGTAAGTTATTATAAAAAAGTTCATTCAACCTTTTTTCGATATCATCTAAAAAACATTTAAAGTTAAGATTTGTACCTCAAAATTTTAAAATTATAATTACAATTTTTTTAATAAGGTGCTCCCTAAAATATATTTAAAAAGAAAAGAAAAAGGTTTCATTAGCACCAAGCTCTCGAACCGTATTTTTAGTTTTTTACTTTAAACAAATCTTCTTTTTCGGCATAGTGTATTAAAAAGTCTCCATGGTGCTTTTATTTTGATAGTAATATACTTACTTCACTCCCGGTTTTAACCTCAAAGTTGTGTTGACCAATCACCATTTTTTAAGTTACATTAATGTTTGTACTTGGCGATCTCTGTCTTGCTATTATTACTGATTTGTTTTTGTTTCTATATTATGTTAATTCCATTCTCTTTTTATTGGTTTAGATGTTTTCCTGCCCATGTTTACATGTAATAGTTAAATTTTATGTTTTTAATAGTATGCCATATAGATGACCCTGTCATCTCTTTATATTAGGTGTGCATCTGTGCAGATATTTCTCACTTTTGTGAATGTTACTATGTGGTAGCTACCCTGAGCCAAGCCACAGTCACTAGTATCAGTATCCTGGTATTCCCATCTTCTCAGATTACTAGCACATCGTGAGGTACTAGTTCTTAGTATGTTTAGAGCTCTCCATGCTGAGAAAAGCAATTCGTGTGCGGCAGTAATTTTTTTTAACAGTCAAAATGTTTTTTGGTAGTTGCCGTTTGCCAATATATTATTCGGCGTGTTTTAGGCGCTTTGGGGAAGGATCTTGATTTTTTCAGAAAGTTTTTCCAAGAACTCTAATACGCTAAATTTGATGATTATACAAAGGGTGTATTTGATCTGTCACCTGTTTCTTCCGCTGTACTCTTGTCATGTCCTACCTTCTGATGTATATTGGAACGATAGCAACTATTTGGAAAACATCTTCAATAGCTCAACAAATATATAGGGTTGCATATTTTTTGATCTCTTCGCAGCTATTTTCCCAGGAGGTATTTGTTGGTTTAGTTACTAGATTTTTGGTTACTAGATTACTAGTTCCCACGTCGCAAAAGATTTGCCTGGGCAGCGTTTGGTAAATTAAACTATGTATTTAAATTAGATCTACCCATATGCTTTAGAAGAAACATTTTTGACCAATGTATGTTACCGGTACTCACTTATTGAGCGGAAACAATAACACTCAGAAAAAAGCTAGTGAATAAAATTAATGTGACTTAGATGCCAGATGTTGGGTATCTCTCTGAAAGACCAAAATCCAAACGAAGAAATACGTCCTATAAAAAAAAACACATTCCATCGGAAGAATTGCGTCACTAAAATGCAATTGGGCAAGACACGTCGCCAGATTATTAGACAACTGATGAAAAAAAAAACGTAATGTCGAGTGGAGACCAAGAGAAAAAGCAATATGATGCAGAGGATGCCCACCAACCAGATGTACTTACGACCTGAAGAATGTTAGCAATAACTGGATGCAAGCTGCACAAGACAGAGAAATTTGTAAAGAGCTGAGGGAGACCTATATCCAGTAGTGAACGCGCACAGGTTGATGATGATGATGACTAGGTTTTTTACTACTCGGTTTAATATTTCATATATTTGTCTCATCATATAGGTCAATTGTTTGCTCTCACTTTTGGTATGTTTGTTTCTTGTTTGATACAGCATTCTCATTTATCCACCACAATGGAGTACGCTTTTCTATTTTTATTTTTTTTGCGTCTTCGTTTGTATATCCCTTTCTTTTTATTTTAACTAATTTCACACAGTTCCGAATAGTGGTCGCCTTCTATAGTAATCAACATCAGACTTATCACATCCATTTTCTGTTTACGATAGTTCGCTTTATATGTGTCTCCACAATTTGATATTAATTTTTGTCCTCAGGCATTTTCTAATGTGTCAGAATATTTATTCTAATGATAAAGAACATATTGTTTATTTTTAGCTCGTTTCTTCTTCAGAAGCCCAAAATTTTCCCACTATCGTTACTGTTACTCTCATTTTCTCTTTGATTTATTTCAGATATTGTTTTTTCTGCTATTCTTAGCATTAAAATACTTAAATATATAAAGTAATTTTTTAAATTATGTTTTATTAGTATTAATAATCTTTAAGACTATAATATAACCATAAATATTCTTTATTCTATACCAGTTTGCCATCTTCTAATGAATAAATTTCTATTATGTGTATAGTTTTATCTGATATCATCTTTAACGTATTAGACTAAAAGCCCATGGGACATCTTTAAGGGGTCATTTGACCCAACATCAATAACATATAAATCAATACTACAATACAGTAGTATTCTTCTTCTTCTTCAAGTGCCATCTTCGCAGCGGAGGTCGGTAATCATCATAGCTATACGGAATTTTAAGACGGCTGCTCTGAAAAGTTCATTTGATGTACATTCGTACCACTCTCTCAGGTTGCGCAGCAATGATATTCTACGCCTCCCTATGCTTCTCTTTCCTTGGACCTTTGCCTGAATAATCTGTTGGAGCAATTTGTATTTCTGTCCACGTGTAATATGTCCGAAATATTTCAATTTTCTTGTTTTGATTGTATTTAAAATTTCTACTTGTTTATCCATCCTGCTCAGAACCTCTTTGTTTGTGACGTGTTCTGTCCACGATATTTCCAGAATTCTTCTATACATCTACAGCTCGAATGATAGACCATACTCCTTTCCATACTCTGCTATTCTGGTCACCCGTCTCTGAAGATCTTTAATGTTTTCGGCTCAGATCACAGTGTCGTCCGCATATCTAATGTTGTTAAAAGGAACTCCATTTACCTGTATTCCAGCTGTTTCACCCTTAAGAGCGTTTTTCACGATCTTTTCGGAGTAGGCATTAAAAAGACTTGGCGACAATACGCATCCCTGTCTCACTCCACATCTAATTTCAAGGTCGTTGTAGTCAAACAATGCGTATATATCTTGATTGACGTCCAGGCATCTTTGTATCAGTTTATTAAGTGAAAAAGGAGCTTCACGCGTTCCTAGGCTTTTGCGAAAATCAAATTGTGTATCATTAACGTCTATGTCCAGTTTGTAATATATTCGGTTATGGATGACTTTAAGTAGTACCTTTAGCATATGAGGCATCAAGCTAATGGTGCGGTAATTGCTGCATTCAACCACTCTTTGGATAATACGCCTGAACTATAAATTTGGTTTAAGAGTGTCACTAAAACATCAATGTCTTTCTCATCTAGGATTTCTTTAGGAAGCATGCCAGGTCCAGGGCTTTTACCACACTTTACTGTTTTTGATGCGTATAATACTTTTTCTTTTATAATATATGACCTATTTCTTTTGACGTAATTTCTATGTGCTCCAGATCTCCTCTTTCATCATCAAACAATTCGTCAATATATTCTGCCATCTTTGTACTTTCTCGTCCGTATGTGTTTATAGTAGTCCCGTGTCCATCCAGAATTGCATGAGTGAGATTTTGTTTTCTTAGTCCTGCCAGTTCTTTAACTTTCTTGTGTAGGTTATACAGATCATATTTATTTTAAAGGTCTTTGATCTCTTTGCATTTCTCTTCAAAGTATTTTTCTTTTGACTGCTTTATCTTCTTCATGATCTCTTGGTTTATCTCTCTGTATTTATTGTTGTCCTTGTTTTTAAATTATCTCCGTTGTTCCATCATATTGAGTATCTCGTCATTCATCCATTCTTCTTTTCTCATTGCGGAAGTATTTAGTATTTCTTTACAGGGTTCCATGTCACCTCGGGGTAAATGGAAAAGGTCTAAATCACCTTCTGTACCACCGTGTGCTCTGTAGAGGGCTTCGGAAACGTCGACGAAAGCCCCTCTACTTGAATCCATTTGCGGGGTATGGATTCGTAAAAGGTTTTCTTCTGATGAGCTCGTCTTGAAAAAGACGAGCTATTTCTTACATGACTTATAAGTCGAAATAAACATCAGGATGCAGTCTACGGTGGCTTGCCTTGACAAAGGCAAGATATTTCTTACACGACAAAATAGTCGAAATAAAACACCAAGTTTAAAGTTGAATAAAAATCTCAGCCACAGAGTATAGGGTAGGCTAAAATAAAAAGCAGAGCCCCGAGAGCACTAAGCTCTCGGAGAACCCGTGAAGGACTGACTTCATTGACCTGAAAATCGCCTATTTTTATACTTTCTGAAATAGCGATTAGGGATTTCCAGGTCAGGAAGGGGCCAACGGGAAAAATAAGGGACGGGGCGATGCGTCTCGAACGTGAACTAGTCGCGTCCGAGAACATCCAGTAGACAATCTTTTAGTCGATCCCAGTACTCGTCAATCGTTGGTGTTTGTGTTCAATTTGCTGCAGTTCACATGCAGTTCATGTTGGAGGCATTCTTTTACTTTAGGTTTTTTAAGTTTTCTTGTGTCTATTGTAGGGATTCTTTGATGTCTCTTAATAGTTTTAAAGGTGAGTGCAATCTTGGCGATAAGTGGATTGTGATCTGAGGCCACCGATGCTTTCACGGCTTTAACAGCATTACAATACTACAACAGTAGTATTACAATACTACAATGCTAAGTTTCTAAAGTTGTAACATCAACTTTAGTTACAATGAAGTTTATTTTTACCGGTACAGGTCCAGGATACACTGGCAAGGTAAACTTACCACTCAAGGGGGTCTGGTGAAACATTTTTGTACGGTATTTATAACTTAAGTAGATAATACAAAAATAATAACCTGCGACCTAATGCTGTACAAAAATATTGACACCAGTAGCAGGGACAATCTTTGATTTTCGAAAATTTTGAAACCATTTTTGGCAATTTTATACAGTACCGCATTTATACACTTAGTTTTGGATTGTTATTTGTATTACTTTTTTAAAGTGCCGAACGTATCGGCTGATACAGGGGTGAGTAATCGAATGCGAACTCAAATATTTTTTACTTTATGTTTATTTCCTGACTTGCCCACATGAAAGTCCTCACTCTCATGCCGTTTTCCATAAAAGATCTAGTTTAAATGATTTTAATCTAATTCTTATTTTTAGCGGAATTGTTCAAAATATGCCACCAAAGTGATAAAGATTTGGATACCTGTTTAAAAGGGGCCATTGAGGTTGCAATCAAAGCAATTGGATCCAAAGGTAAATGATTTACGTATACAAATATATCATAAAAGGTATAAAAGCTTTTGAACGTCTAATCGAATCGGATAACCTTTCGCTGAGCTTTGGACGCCACAGCATCGGTTAAATTTTTTGACTTAATCTTTAAGATATAGTTGTTTACGGTTACGTGATAGGAACGAAGTTTTTGAAAAACAAAAGAAAATATTTTAATACACAAAAAATTTAAAGAAAAAGATGGGAAGTTATCATTGGCTCGATATAATGCAATAAATCAACTTTTATTGTCAGTCCTGGTGCTCCATCTATTGTAATGCACACGAGTTTGTATATCGGTAACCATCCAAAGTTTGTAAATATTATCCAGATAAAATAAATAACTGTTAGGATTTCAAATCTTTGCTCATGATGTCGATTAGTCTGCTAACAATGATACGTGATAACTGGACCTCTTTAATACGATTTGTTATCTGTGTTAATGTTAAATCAACAAATAATACATTAGTCGCTTTAATAAATGAGTTTTTTACGATGATTCCATTTTGAAACGTTTCTTGTGTGCCATTATGTACGAAATTTTCAATTACGTGATTATTGCTGCTACTGATTGTTTGGCTGGATTAAAGAAGATGGATTGAACTCTCTTCAAACTACTTTTCAAATCTTTCAATTTTTGTCTTCTTAACTAACTTTTTGTTATATCTTTCTTATATCTTATATCTTTCTAAGTTACCGCGTTTGAGAAGTGCCATTAAAGATCGACAAACGAGGCAACCGCACTAATTTTTGAACAAAACAAAAAATATTCCTTACAATCACTATTAAAATGTGATTGTACTCATTGTGCGTTTTAAATATTCTTATTTTACGTAGTACTTCTACTCATCGTTACTTAATAAAGAATAAATATAAATACTTTGTTATGATATGTAAAATCGAGGATAATAAGCAACAAACATTTCGAAGAAGGAAAGTCTTTAAATTTTTGGATTACCTGTATTGAACAAAACGTAAGATATGCATAAATTATTTTCTTTGTTAAATTATATTTGAGTGACCCGGTTTTTCCAAATAAATGTTGTGCAGTAATTAGGACAATAGAATAGATTTTAGAAAGATATGTTTTTGTTAGTTTTTAAGAATTGGTAGAAAAAGATTAGTTTTTAAATAATGTTCGGAAATTTTATAATAGTAGGTAAAAATTTGATTGTGTTATCGAAATGAAGAAATGGGAGATGTATGACGTGTTTTGATTGGATGAGATTGAAAAAGGTGGGATAGTTGGTTTGAGAATGAGACGTTAGTTAGTTTTTGAAGAAAAAAAGATAGTCAGTTGGTTTTCAAGGGTGCAAGGCGAAGGCAGTATGGTTCTCTGGTAGGTTCCCAAGAGGTAGGAAGCAGTAGCAGTGAAAGTGTTAGTGAGTTTTGTGGAGTTAGTGTATCTGACAGAAGCTGATGCAGTAAAAGATTGTAAGTTATATTTTTCTACTTATATTCCAAGAGTCACTGTTCAGGCCAACGAGAGATTCAGTTTATCGTAAAGAGAAGATATTCCAAGAGTCATTTTTCACTCAGGCCAACGAGAGATTCAGTTTATCGAGAGGAGAAAAGGCTAGCATAAATTTGAACGATTCGTGCATTTGAAGGAGATCATTAAGGACGACAAACTTGCAACAATTTGTTGTAAGATTGCTGATTACCTAGGGAGCTGCTAAGAATAGATAATATAGATTACAAGGAACAAGGATTTGGACCACTCATCATCAGAGAGAGATCGTTTTGTTTTCTGCAGTTTTTCTTTTATTGATAACACAAATTCTTTCAATTACTTTAGAAAAGATATAAACATTTTGATTAGGAGATTTAGAATAATAATTGGGATTTTGAGATTTTAACTAATATTGTTTGTACCATTAATTTTGAAGGTTCACGTACGTAGAACAAAATTTTGAGAATCATTATATGAGATATTGTTATTGAAAACATTTGAGTGTGAATTTTATTTCATTATTTTTATTTTGTAACGAGTCCGTTACTTAAATACCCACTTACTGTCCTGTCACTGGAATTCTTTAATTTAATTACAAATTAAATTCATTTGGAAATATTCTTAAACCAAAATTCAAATAACTTCAGTAAATTTTATGCCTAAAAGTTGGCAGCAAGTTGCGCCCTCTATGTAAAAATTCTACTTCGTTTCCGTCGTAACATCGTGTGTTCGTTACTTGGTCTTGGAATCGTGAAGTGAGCAGACGTGTTCAGAGGCGGCTGTGGGGGCCATCTTTATTCCATGAGTTTGGTTTAATTTTTTTATTTTTTTGGAAAATCAGTTGTGTTGGAAGAAGCCTTTTTGTTATTTTGTTGTTTTGGGAAAACACTTTAAGTTTGGACCACAGCCGGTGAGTTTTAAATTATAAATAAATTATATATAAAAACATGTCACATCATCCGCCATTGTTGGTGAAATTTAAATCTATTTCTTTAATCCTCTTTCAAAATACATTCTGGTCTATTTAACTATTCCATTTATTTCCTAAATACCTCAACAGATTACAAGTAATAAATTTTTATAATTTTATTTCTTTACAAGTATGAAAACCAACAATTATCTATTATAATTCCATACCGTTTAAACCGGCTAATACTTTTTTTCGATTCTATAATCTATATACCAGGCGTTCCTTAAAATTACCTGGTTAATATATCCAAACATTTTCATACAGTCCCAAGGTTATTTTTTTTCAAAGAAACACATTATAGTTTTTGCTTCAATTTGAAGCAACGTGTTGACATTTCTTGGTTTTTCTTTACTTTCTTGTATGAACAAAGGACTTTGTAGTAACACAACTGTGTTTTTTTAGCCTAGTTACGGATTCCAGGACAAGTCTGGGGAAGAGAAAACTTTTAATTTAATTTTATGGGGATTTAAACACAGGGGAAGAATTATATGGTTTTAGTTTAAAGAGTAAAAAGTCTCAGTACCTTTATTGGAGTCCAGTTTTGGACCTCTACCCACCTGCATCTAGTTCTTCATCCTGACCACCTCCCAGGTCCACCGAGAAAGAAACCGGCAGGAAGAACTAGTTTTGTTTTTTTGTTGTTTTCATTTAATATTTGTAATAATACCTTTTAACTTCCTCTTCAAGGCTTTAACTTTTTATTAATAATAATCATATTCATTTTTTTAAATAATAGTCATTGTAAATTTATTAAAACATTTATTATTCATCAAGGGTTGAGATTGTAACTCCCCTGGAATCTCTCGTTAACAGGTTATAGTGTGCACACATATCCGGAGAGGTTTTATTTCATTTATTCGATAATTGTAACATTTATATCATTATATATTTCATTTTATATTATATTTATATAACTATGCATAACCTTAGTCAACATTTCACATAAATAGGTACATTTGGGAAAGGGGAAACTGTTTTATCATTGCATTCAGGGGTTTTCATTGTAAATATAGATTAGTTAATTGTACATAAGAGGTGGTGGGTCATAGATAAGTATTTAACATAGTCTGTACATAAATTTTGGGTAATTATTAAAGTTGTGATTAAAAATTAATCTTTCAATTAGTATCCAACTTTTATTATTTCAGCAATACAAGATATCTTGGAAGAAAACCTTCAACTTCCTGGCGCCCAAACATTCAGTAGAGCAACTTTATCTTTCTTCTGTTTATTTCTTGGTAGTTTCTAGTCATTAATTCTTACATCTTACGGTCACTGTAGGGCATGCAAATTGGCCGAATCCCTCTTGATTGTCAAGTGGTCATTCTCCTGCATAGTCGCTAGCCAGCATTAATTTTATTATTTTTTAAAATTCATATTTATCCTTTATTTATTTCTTTCGCATAATTTATTTCTATCTAATCCCTTTCATCTTCTGTTAGTCCACATATTAGTTCGTTGGTGTATCAAGGTACATTTTAGAGTTTACCCTATTGCTACACTACACATTCTTGCTATATTGGCGCTCCAGCCCATCCATTTTTGTTACAATTTCAATATATAATGTTAGATCCATATGTTTTTTATTATTCCGGTATTCTTTGGACCTTACCTTTCACATGTAATAGCATAGATATTGAAGCACGAATAGAACCCTGAGATAAGAGAATAAAAAAGTGTGATAGAATCATAGTCATATCATTTAAATTATTTTAATTAATTAATTAATTAATTCACTAATTAATTGCTTGGCGCACTAAGATTTTGAATATCACAATAACTTATATAATGCTCCAAGTCAAGTGGAATGTTATTTATACGTCGCTTAGGCGGGGAGCTTCTTCATTGTTAGGTCTCCCTATCCAGAAAGAGAAATGGTAAGATTAGACGTCAGTTTACGATTGCAATTTATGTGTGTGTGAATAGATGTTGACGAGTGGTAGTGATGCTAAGAAGCAGTAGTCAGTTAGTTAAGGATTTTTTGTTGGCGTTGGTGTTGGTGGTGGTGCATGTAGTGTTGATCAAGGAGGTCTTGGATGGTCAGTCATGCAGTTTGAAGGAGGTACAGTAGCATGTTACCAGCTATACAATTGGGAGCGGCTCTTTTTGATAGAGCATTTTTGCTTGTAAATGATTATCTACGGTATCTTAAAAGCGTCACTTCTAGGATGTTGAAACACTCATCAGGAAGTTCGTATCTAGCTAAGTTTAGGAGTTTGGCAGGGAGGAAAACTTTTCTACCAGGATGCCTGCGAGTATGTGTCCTAGACGGTGGCATGTAATTTAGGACCTCCTTGGCTCTAATGTTGGAGCTGGTTATGGTTCTCATAGTGTATCTTTTGCCGAGAGTACAGATTCTTCTCTCGATTGTTTGTATGTTAGCCAGTTGGTGAATAAGTGCTCGCTTTCTCATGATCTTTCTCAAGATCTTTGTTTCAGTCGCCATCATGGCGTTGCGTTGGCGGTTGTTCCGTAGAGGGTAAAAACCGCCCTATACTCAATAGTTGGTCTGACGTACGTTTTGTATGTGTGGAGTAGAGTTCTGCTGTGTGCCTCCCAAGATTTTCCAGCTATAGCTAACAGGAGTCTAGCCCCTTTCCTTACCCGGTTAAGGATGAGGTTAAGTTTAGTCTCCCAGTTGAGGTTCCTCTATATAATGCTCCGTCGCCGCAGGAGTATTATTCGCACAATTTCGCGCGGACATTGGACTGTACTACGGTATTTGTAAGATCTTTCTTCTAAAAGTACCAGCTCATAAATTATGGACTGTGATGATTATTTATATCATACGCTAAGACAGCTTATCATAGTAAAGTTGAACAAAACCTAGTAAATGTTATTAAAATCTTCTAAAGTACTTTAGTTTAAAAGTATCTTTTTATCTATTTCTATTTAAATGCCATTTAACATCCAAAAAATATTTTATGGACAACACTAATGTGTAAACACTATTAAGAAGATTATCAGGGAGAACAAAAAAGACCACTGACTGAATTACGAAAGTAATAAAACGAAATAAAGTAAAGATTGAAACAAGAAAACAATCTTTATTATAAAACACGATATTACTTACTTTATCTTACAAAACAAAATAAGTTTTGTTTCGTGATACAATAAATTGCGTCATTTTTATTTTATTAAATAATACATTTAAAATTAGAAACATATATGTTAAAGCGGTTTGAATGCGCACATTTTAAGTCAATAATATATTATGTACGATATATGACAGTAATTTGTATAATCAAACAAAACACGTTAATTTTATGTAAGTTAATAATGACTAGGACTTGTAATAGACTATGTACCTAACTACATTATTTTGCTACCACTGTACATATTACTTTATAATAACCTTACTTACTATTTTTAATATTTACTGACAAATAATAGATAATTTTATTATTTGGTGATATAAAAAATGGAATAAACTTTTTAATATTATTTGACCCCCAGCCTTTTTTTAATCTATTAAACTCGAAAGCTGTTGCCAAATTGACATTTAATCTTCTATAAGTTCCCCATTTGTAAATTTTTTTCTGGTAGCCATACACTGGGCCATTATTAAAAAGAACGTGCTGGAGATCGCTAAAAATATTCTGAAGACAGAAAAACCAAAGAAATAGAATGAATGGATGAGTGACGAAATTTTGTTATTGATGAATTCTCGAAGACTATCATCGGAAGGTAAAAGTGAAGAACAGTATAAGCAAATTAACACAGAGATTGAAAGAAAAATCCGCGACGCTAAAAAACAATGGTTACAAGACAAATCTAAGGAGATTGAAAACTTGGAAGCCAAATATGATTCGTTATATCTTCACAAGAAAGTTAAAGAAATGATCAACAAGAGAAACAGGAAGCAAACAGTACTTATAGATCAACAAGGGAACATGATAATGGAAACAGAGGAGAAACTAAAACATTGGCAGACAAACATAGAAGAACTGTTTGACGATCAAAGGCAGCCTCCTTGTGATAATTTTCCAGAGGAGACAGGTCCAGAAACAAGCAAATAAGAAGTAATGCAAGCGGTAAGGTCATCAAAGAATAGCAAAGCTTCAGGACCAGAGGAGCTACCAGCGGATATACTAAAGTTGATAGACGAAGATCGAATCCATTTGTTAGTAGACTTATTTAAGATTTATGAAAACAGTATAATTCCAGAAGAATGGCTAAGATTAACCTTTGTCCCTCTTCCCAAGAAGGCACATGATAAGCAATGCAGTGATTATCGCACGATCAGTCTGATCAACCATACCTTAAAAATATTCCTCAAAATAATTCACAATAGAATTTACAGAAAATTGGAAGAATATTTCGGAGAAACTCAGTTTGGATTCTGGTAGGGATATGGAACTCGCGAAGCATTATTTGCTTTTAACATCTTGACCCAGAGGTGTTTGGATGTGAATCAAGATGTATTTGCTTGTTTCATTGATTACAACAGGGCGTTTGATAACGTCAAGCATGACCAACTTTTAGAGATCTTGAAAGCTAAACAGTTGAACACTCGCGATATAAGAATAATATTCTACTCTGTATTATAATCAGAATGCAGTTGCACGCATCGAAAATAGCACAACAAATGAAATTCAAATTAAAAAGAAGTTAGACAAGGATGTGTGCTCTCACCAATGCTATTTAATCTTTATTCGGAACAAATTATAAAGAAATCATTATAGGAAGAAGAGATTGGGATAAAAGTTAACGGCCAACCAATTAATAATATTAGATACGCAGATGATACGGTTTTAATGACGGAGACAGTAGTCACAGCTAGTGAAGAGAAAGGGTTAACAATGAATGTCAAGAAGACGAAATTCATGATTATTTCAAAAAACAAAGATTAAATGCAAACCTGTACATTCACACTAACGAAATCGAACGGGTACACAAATATAAATACTTGGAACAAGTGTTAATAACAACAATGACATCACAGAAGAAATAAAAACTAGAATTGAAAAGGCTCGAGCTGCTTTTGTTAATATGAAGGACATTCTGGGAAGTCACTTGGGAAAAATGAAAAGAGTATTTAGAGTTTCAGTTTATTTAATTTGTGTAATTCGTTTTATTTGTATTAATGTTTAATAATTTTTGTAGTGCTATAGCATCAGTGCTAAATAAAAACAAGAAAAATTAGTAGTTTATAGAACTTTTTTTTATAGAAGTGAATGATCATTATGCGTCATGCAATATTTGTAAGTCAAAGTTGTCTTATAAAACGAGCACATCCAATTAAAAAAAACACATGCAAATAAAACATCCTTTATATCGGATATACCTAAATAATAACACATGCAGCATTATAACGGTCTACAATGGAAAATTGTACACAGTCAATTTTATTGTTCGAAACTTTAACATACGTCTATTTCATTGCGATGTTAAATCACAATCTGAAGTACATTGCAAAAAAACAAAGCCAAAAGGAGCATCCAGGGACAAGCTGCTTAGAAAACTGGCAGGTAGTTGATAGAGCGCTACTCTACAGTTCTCAAAAAACAGCACAAGCACTGTGCTACTCGACAGGGATCATAAATAACCGACTAAATCATTACCGGGTTTATGAAACCTACACGTACTCCGTGACTTAAGGGCCGCTAATTTTGCCCCTCTACAAGCACGTCAGAAGGACACAGAACACATCCAAAGAATCAAACAGGAGTTCGATGATAGACTATAATGTAGCAGTCTAGACCCACTAAAGCCACGACGAACTACTACCCCCGCTTCGCCAAGATAATACTGCGGCACAATCTTGGACAGGAACACATAGAAGTCACTAAACAAAATAAGAAGAGGTGTTGCTCCTGTCAAGATAAATAAAATAGAGTGGAGAGGATCGACATACAGGTGTTACTATGCGAATGTGGTAAACGTGAAACACCTGCGAAAGTGCAGACTTTGCCTGGAAGATGGACTTCGAAGAATTGTGGCACGCCCGCAACAATGACATTGATGTCATGCGTTACTAGCCGGAAAAACTTTAAACATTTAGGGCACGAAAATGTGAAAGTCACTATAGTCAAAATAGCTAAAGTAAGATTAGCGGAAGGAATATGTATTTAAAGTCAGGCAAAGTTGAATCTTCTAACCAGGATCATTTCATTATACTTAAACTAACATTTATAAAGCATTTTTAAATAAACATATATAAAACTTTGTCATACGTTCAACAACCACCTTATTTAATATAATCTAATAATTTATCAGAGTTACAACCAAATTAGTGTCATCAGTCATGACATTTTTTTTCTTGATAATGTATGAACATATAAATATATATATCAAAAAATATTATAAATGGAGGCGGCACATAAAGAAAAATATATTTTGTTAAATAACGTTTATTAAAACATAACTAAATTTTAACACGTGTAACTAACAGTTGCTGAGAGTACCATTTGATTTTTTCAGGAATCCCAGATTTGGGTGTTCCTCCGGTTGAACCAATTGCTGTTAAAGAGATTACATTCGGATCTGGAACTGATGCAGTTCAATTGGACCAAACGTACTATGATGTCAAATTACACGGATTTACAGATAATTTGAAGATAACCAAAGCTCAGTAAGTTTGTTTATTTTTAATATTCTCCTAGAATTATTTTTACTTGGTTAATTATTTCTTTTTTATACACTCATTTATCCACCATTCTGTTTATTTTCTATTCTCATCTACGTTTCTTCTATTTAACGCTAATATGTTCATGACTTATTAGCCGAATGATTAAGCCGAATACCGAATAATTTTTTTTTCTTTACTATTTAGCTGGTAGCATCTTTACCTTTTTCTATCCAGAAATTCCTTTTTCTATCTGACAATGTTACGTTGTGCTATCACTCTCTGTGCCTTTATAAGTTGTGTCCATGTTGCTTCTTGTGAACATACAGTTTTGACATCCGGATGTTATATTGCCTAAGTGGTTTTCTTTATTCAGTTTTATTATCTCTTCTCAATAGAAATATTGAATATTTTCTTAGATTTATTTTTGCTTGCCTATAATCAGTAATTTTTTGCCCTGATTTATTATCTCTCCTGTTTTGTAGCAATTTACGTTTAATTCAACTTTTCTGGCTTGGTATAGCTATTGAACTATTCTCCCTAGTTGTTTTATACTGTTGCAGTTTCGCAACTTTTTATAAATTATTTGTTTGCCGTAATATACACACTTAAGGCGAAAGGAAGAAACCAACGGGTTCTAGATTAAATATAAAAATTCATACTCCTTTTCTGATGTCCTCATATGTAATATAGAGGTGATCGTATGTGCAGAAAACAACACATACAACGCAACATCCCTGTATGTATGTATATAAAATATGCTCAATGAAAATGTCCAGTACCAACGCAAAATTACCTCTGGTGGCTAATATTCCGATCCTCTCACAGTCATTCTCATCCATTATGATTGAAACCAATATTCGACTGAAACTATGAAAATAACAAATCCCTAATACTCAGTTAATATTTTTTGATTTGCGAGTGAAAATGTTCATTTTGTTAAATAACTACCACGTTTTCAGACAATTTTTCACAAATAACTCACAAAATAAGTATTTATCGCGAAACATTTCTTAACAAGAATACAAGACACAAAAAAAAAAAAAAAAATAGAGTATTTATGAAGTCTGTCGACACAGGCGAAGCAGAGTTATAGATTTTGAAAAGTAGGTTCCTATTTGTCAAATTCCACATCTAATATTTTAACGTAAAATTACCAAAAAATTAAGAACTTTTCATGATTTACAGTTTCAATGAAAAAAAAAAAAAATACTACAACAAATCGAATTTCTTCACAATGAAGTGTTTTTATCAGGGTAATTATGTGGTAAAAACAGTACAGAAATCTAAATTTAATGCCACTGAATAATTAAATAATTCCAAATTTCCAGAGTTTACAAATATATGTTTTTTTCCTGTACGGGTAGTTTTAACCCCTAAAAAAATAAAAAGCAACCTACGGCTTAAGTCTAGTGGAGGATAAGTATAAATACAGAGTGGCCCAAAAGTCTGGAAACGGCCAATTATCTCGTAAATTGCTAGTTATATTTGTACAAAATTTACGGTACACCTATTTTGTGATACGAATATTCCATATTTAATATTTGCAATGTTGCCAGATTTGCCGTTTCTCGTATATTATTAGTAACTTTAGTTTTTCAAATTTATCACCCTGTATATTCAGTCATTAGTGAATTTCCTATTCAATACAAGTTCAACCATATGTAACACTTATGATTTTATGTAGTTTGAAAGATCTTAAATACATAAACTGGCAACGCCTAATTGTCTCAATAATTTTTTTATTACTAACTATTTTTAACTGCATTAAAATGTAACAATTACATATTACATTTTTTAACATAATGGTTACTTTATCAAGTGTTCAAAATGCGTTCCATGTGAGTTGACAGTACACTAATCAATGGTAGAATGCGTCTATCACATTTTTCCATGATTGTCTAGAAATTATTCGAGATGCATCAATATTTCATTGCCGTAGTTCTGCAAGACTTGCTGATTTAGTTTTGTAAACTAAATTTTTCCAGTATCCCCAATAAAAATAATCTTTAGGATTGAAATCAGGTGAATGTGGAAGCCATTCAATTCTACCTCGTCTACCAATCCATCGTCCGGGAAATACCTCTTCTAAATAACGCCGAACATTTACACCAAATTTTTTTGAAATTATGACAAGCAATTTACAATTTACGAATTACGAATCTACTAGATAGATACCGATCCGTTAGACCGAAAAGAGTTATGAATGACAACAAAACTAGATATAATGCAAAGTTTTGTTGAAGATCCACGTACATCCTCACGCAGAGTTGCACAAGTACATGATGTAGGTTGTTCTTCAGTCTTAAGTGTATTACATAAGAATATTTTTAAACGATACAAAATTAACTTATCGCAAGAATTGAAGCATTGAAGAATTGAACCTGACTTCGATCGTAGATTAGAGTTTACTGAGATAATGATGGATAAAATGGAAAAGGATAAAAATCTCGTTAACAGAATATGTTTTTCCGATGAAGCAACTAAGACTAAAATGACGTAAATCCACACTGGATGCGTGAAATCCAAACTCAAAGACCACAAAAATTTAATGTATGGTCAGGTATAGTAGGTAGTCAGTTAATTGGGCCATTTTTTATCAAAGGAAATTTAACTTCAGATAGTTACGAAATGATGATAGTTAATATATAGTACAAGATGGAGCTCCAGCTCATTTAGGTTTAAATCCTCTGGGTTATTTAGAAGATATATTTCCAGGACGATGCATAGGTAGACGAGGTAGAATTGAATGGTCTCCACGTTCACCTGATTTCAATCCTAAAAATTATTTTTATTGGGAATACTTGAAAAATTCAGTTTACAAAACTAAACCAGCAAGTCTTGCAGAACTGAGGCAACGAAAAATCGACGATTCTCGAATAAATTCTAGACAATCATTGAAAAATGTGGTAGACGCATTCTACCATCGATTAGGTCAACTCACAAATAGAGCGCATTTTGAACACTTGATAAAGTAATCATTGTGTTAAAAATGTTGTAATCTATCAATTGTTATATTTTAATGTAGTTAAAAATAGTTAGTATTAAAAAACTTATTGAGACAATTAGGCGTTGCCAGACTTCTGTTTTATGTATTTAAGACCTTCCAGACTACATAAAATCATAAGTATTACATATGGTTGAACTCGTATTGAAAAGGAGATTCCAATAACGAGTGAATATACAGGGTGATAAATTTGAAAAACCAGTTACTAATAATATGAGAGAAATGGCAAATCCGACAACATTGCAAATATCAAATATGGAATCTCGGTATCCCAAAATAGGTGTACCTCAAATTTTGTATAATTATGTTTGATAATTTATCAGATAATTGGCCGTTTCCAGACTTTTGGGAGACTCTGTATAAATAAATGGTTAAGTACCGTTTCTTCTATAATCGATTTTTCTGTTGAAAGGATGTAATAAACTTCGGTTTTTACTTGACCACTAGGACTAATCCACATTCACTTTGGGATTTTTTAATAAAGAACTAATTCATAGTTAAACAATATGTTTATATGGATTTAAGTCACAATTAATTGTAATGATAATTATAATTGCGCATTATACCTAATTGTTCTCGACGTTTCGACTTCCACTCTGAAATTTTTTTCAAAAAAGCTCATTATAAAAATGTGCAAAAAATTATAGGAAATAAAAATTTTCTATTCTCCAATTATTTAATGGCTACTCTAATTAACAATAATTTATCGAAATATCCAGCAATTTTGTAGCGCCATCTATTTTAGAATTCTCTAACCAAATTTTATCGATTAACGTACTACTGAAGGGAGCTGTAAAGTTTTCAGAGTAGTTTCATGTTTTTTTTAATATGTGGCTCTATGTGGAATAAATTGATAAATTGTTTTACTTTATTTTACCAAAATATTAAATGTAATTAAAACAACACTGTAAAAGGTATCAAGCATTTTGAGGTATTTTTGCACTTACATTGAATTTCATATATAAAAGCAATACTATATAAAATTATAATTATCGTTTCATATATCCTACCACTATTATCACACGTTTATAACATTATTAGTGGTTTTAAGTTCTGGTGGCAACAAATGTGAGACATTTAAAATATGCCTAAAAAAGGCTACATTTAAACTTTCATATTAGAAACGATTTAAAATATTTAAAACTACCTTTTTTCTAGTAGGTACACTGTATTCCGTGCAAAACGAGGTAGCTATGGAGCACTGAGTATCCTTTTTGCACTGAATCCAATAAGGAGACATCTGAATATTCATTATAAATATTTCCCTTACGAGTTACCGGACTGCCCCGGTCATCATCATCATCATCATTAGCCATTTTGCGTCCACTGCTGAACATAGGCCTCCCGTAAATAATTCCATTGCATCCGATCTTGAGCAACTTGAATCCAGTTAGACTGGATGCGCTTTAAATCGTCCGACCACCTTGTTGGAGGACGTCCTCGACTACGATAAGCATCGTGTCTAGGCCTCCACTCTAAAATTTTCTTTGTCCATCTTCCATCTCTGACCCTAGCAACATGTCCTGCCCAGTTCCATTTCAGGGTTGTAATTCTTTCAACTGCGTCCGTCACACCAGTTTTTCTCCTTACTATCTGACTCGAAACTCTGTCCCTGAGTGATACGCCCAACATTGACCTCTCCATCGCTCTCTGTGCCACTTGTATCTTATTAATTACTTTTCTGGTAAGTGTCAATGTTTCTGCTCCATATGTCAGAACTGGAAGTACACACTGATCAAAAACTTTTCTCTTCAAGCACATGGGAATAGCTGATTTAAAGACTTCCCTCAGTTTTCCGTAAGCTGCCCATGCCAGTCCTATTCTCCTTTTTAACTCTGTTGTTTGATTGTCTCTTCCCAATTTAATCTCGTGGCCCAGATACTTATAGGAATACACTTGTTCAATTTGCGTGCCATTAGTGGAAATGTTTTTTGCCAGTACCAGGTTGGTCATGTATTGTGTTTTGGAAAAATTAATTTTAAGGCCAACTCGTGCACAAGAGCTCTGAAGGTCTTGAAGAAGTTGGCATGCATGATCTACCTGATCTGCAATAAGGACTATGTCGTCTGCAAACCTCAAGTTGTTCAAAAATTCCCCATTTATATTTAATCCAATATTTTCCCAATTATTTTTTCTCATAGCACTCTGTAATAGGGCGGTGAATAGTTTAGGAGAGATAGTGTCTCCTTGCCTAATACCTTTCTCCAAGGGAAATGTGTCTGTGTCACCATAGTACATTTTTACAGCAGCTGTTGCGCTATCATATATATTTCGAAGAAGAGTTGTGTACCTATGGTCAATACTGCACTCTGTAAGAGCTCTTAACATGGAGCTATGCTGGACTGAGTCAAATGCTTTCTCAAAGTCTACAAATATTAATATCAATGGCTTGTTGTATTCTATAACTTTCTCTATCAAGGATTTTATTACTTGTAGGTGGTCATTTGTTCCAAAGCCACTCCTAAATCCGGCCTGCTCTAGAGGTTGATGAAAATCTAGCTTAGGTCCCAGTCTGTTAGTAATTATTCTCATAAAGAGTTTATATAAATGAGATAATAAGTTGATAGGTCTGTAGTTGCCAATTTCTGTTACATCTCCTTTTTTATGCAATATTATCATAATGGCATTATTCCATTTTTCTGGCGTATTTCCTTCAAAGAGGCAGGCATTATAAAGGGTTTTTAAAGCCTTTATGACGCATTCGCCTCCTAGTTTTATCATTTCACTTACAATGCCATCTTCTCCAGGTGTTTTGTTGTTCTTCATACCTTTTAATGCTGACTTAATTTCCTCTTCGGTTATATCTGGAAGTTCCTCTGACCCTTGATTTAGTATTGCTGGAATTTCTACTTCGGGAATGTGATCATCTCGACTATATAATGTTCTATAGTACTCTTCGATGATTTTTAGTATCTCTTGTTGTTCATGTATGACATGTCCTTGATTATTTTTTAACTTATAAATATTCCTCGTTCCTATTTTCAACTTTCGTTTTAGAACTTTTAGGCTTTTGTTTTGTTCTACGGTATCAGTTATTTCCTTAGTGTTAAAGTTCCTTATGTCTTTCCTAATGGCTTTTGAAATGGTTTTGTTTAAATTCCTTAGCTCTGCAATGTTCGTTGTATGCTTTTCTTTCATTTCCCTTCTTTTTTGCATTAGGTTTCTTGTGTCTTCTGTGAGTTTTTCATTTTTTGTTGAGTGCTTGGCTTGGCACTTCTTCTGTGACTTCTTCAGGGCTTCTACCAATTTTTCGTTAAGCTGTTCAATACTGGTTTCATCTTGCAGGTCTTTCTGTAGATTACTCTCTATTTCTTCCTGGTATGCCCTGGTGTTAGTAATCGCAGTGAATGTAACATTATTAGTCCTTGTTACCATATGTCTTCTTTCCTTCTGTATGTTTAAGACTATCTTCGCCCTAACCATTCTATGGTCACTTCCAGTTGAAAATTGATTTAATACAGTTACGTCTTGAACAGCGTCTTTTTTGTTAGTAAATATAAAATCAATTTCGTTCTTGTTTAAACCATTTGGTGATTGCCAAGTCCACTTTCTTTGGTCGCTTTTTTTAAAGTGCGTATTCATGACATATAGCCTGTGTTGCAGAAGAAATTCTATGAGAGTTTGACCCCTTTCGTTTCTATCGCCATATCCGTGAGGTCCAATTACAAACTCCGAATCATCTTGCTGTGTGGCCTATTTTAGCGTTTAGGTCTCCCATCAGTATAGTAAAGTTGGTGTTGTCTCTTGTATGGCAGTGTTAACGTCATCGTAGAACCATTCTACTTCTTCATCTGTATGGGTACTAGTAGTGCATATACCTGGAGTGACCTGCCCGGTAGTAGTTAATTTTTTAAAAATAACGTAAATTGAATAAAAATGAAAAATTGTAAAAATATGGAGCTGCCTCCTTTTTGCACTGATGTCTTTAACTATATAGGTAAGCGAAGTCAAACCCAGAAAATCGCAGAAATTACATATGGCCCCCGCCGAAACCTCAAATCGAATATGATATGTTTCTAGATATATATGTGTATTTTTATATTTATTTTTTTTTTAATTATAGTTATGATGCTGGAAAGAAGATCTTAACTTTTTCTACTTTCACTCCTATTCTAAAACAACAGGGAAAATACGACTTAAAAGGAAAAATATTGGTTATACCGGTATACGGAAAGGGAGATTCTCTTGTTACATTAAGTAAGTATTCTCAAAATAGTGTCCACTATTAGAACTAACATAATTTAATCGAATAATACGTTATAAAAATTAGCGTGTCAGTTTTACCCGTGGATCTTTATTGGTTCTCATTTTTGTTAGTGCTTTAATCTAATCGTTAACTTTTCTATCTTTAAATTTATATCGAACATTTGCCATTTCTACTATCTCTCTTTTAAAAGTTGCGATTTTATATACTTAACCATTTTAATTGTGCAGACTTTAGAAACATATGTGAAATTACCGACTATATTATTTTTATATACCAAACACAAAACTAAAATTAACAACCAAAGTGATAACAAATATTATAAATGAAATTATAACACTAGCAGAAGAACAACAAGGTTTTAGGTCGGGAAGATCATGCACCGACGCTATATTTATAATGAGGCAAGTGGAAGAGAAATCATTAGAATACAACAAACCGACGTATCTATGTTTCGTGGACTTTAAGAAGGCATTTGACCGGTCACATTAAAGGACGTTATCCACATACTGTCGGCAAGAGAGATACCTCTAGAAACAATCGTAAATATTTACTAATACAACACAATAAAAGTTAAAGTGGAAGAAGATCTAACCGACCCTACTGAAGCTGGCAATGGGAGATTGCCTGAGTCCTTTATTATTCAACCTGATTATAAATAAAATAATAAAAAAAGTATGATTGAAAAAAGGATACCAAATGGAAGCAAAACAACTTAAAATAATCTGCTATGCAGACGACGCAATACTACTTTCTCAAAGTGAAGATGATTTACAACATATGCTGCATCAATTTAATATAACTGCCAGAAAATTTAACATGTTAATTTCCCCCCCAAAAAAAAAAAAAACAAAATGCATGACCATAAACAGCAAATTTACTAAGATGTAAATTGAAGCTGTAAGGTCAGATTAAAACAAGTAATGAAGTTTAAATATCTAGGCACCACATTATCTAGCTACGGAAAGCTCGAAACTTAAGTGAAAGATTAAGTGAATAAACCAAACAGAGCCACAAGCTGCCTGAAAGAAAAAAATGGGAAAATGATGTTAGAAACAGCAGAGATGAAAATACTTGATGGCAAGACACTATGGGGCAAAGCTAGACGTACAGATATACGACGTTGATGCAAGGTGAAGAACATCAAGAACTGGTTAGGAAATAGAAGAGAAGAATGGAACGATGATACAAGCAGAATGACAACAAATAAAGTAGTAAAGACGGCAAGACGGTTCTCCAATAGAAAGACGATCCATAGAAAGACCACTAAAACGATGAAACGATAACTTACTGGAGGAACACTGAAAAACAGACAGATTCATGTCTATATAAAAAGAGAAAGAAGAAGAACCAACCATTTTAGATCTAGCACAATCTAGTTTTAATAAAGACATTGAATACCTGTCAGAACGGCAACTCATAAATAAATAAAAAGCATTTAATAATATCTAGTTTTAAATTATGGCAATATTGATTATATTTAGTGAAAATGCTTAAACACATCGATTTTTATTTTAAAGGGGATGTCTTCTAATGATAAAGATATTGGTCATTTGTCAATCCCTTCCTTCTAGTACTACAAATCTTTAATTTTAAGTAGGAATTATACCATGTATGGTACATCATTGGAGAGGTATTTCTTTGGAGAACTCAGGTATCCATGATTTTTCTTTTGATAATAACGATCGATAACGGTCATGGAACTAGAAGAGAAGAAAAAAGATTATTAGTTTTAGCCTCTTTAGTACTTCCCTTTAGTTTTTGCAATCTCGGCAATCCTCTTATGTTGAAATTGGTGACAATGTTTCATTGTTTGATGATTTTATCTTTGGCCCAAGCTTTAATTTGGCCCACGTACATTGGATGTAATTATTTGGAAGCTTTTTCTCTAGGTTTTTTATCTACTTTGGTAAAATGTCGTAGTGACTAGCTGTTTCTCCCTATTGATATAGTTTTATATGAATATATTGATTTGTTTCGTTGTAAATGACTCAGCAAAATAGTCCTTAGATGTGTCCATTATATTTTTATATTCCAACATGTATTTTGTATATATTTTCTAAGAACTAATAAATATTTATTAATATTTTTTCAGAGGATGTAACAATGAACCATGTCATAACTTTCGAAGAAGAGAAGAAGCAGGGAAAAACATACCTTAAAGTTATCAATTACGAAGGCGAAATGTTTCTTAAGGGAGCAAACTTCGACTTTAAGAATTTATTTGACGGCAACAAACTACTTTCGGATAATATTTTGAAAGTCGTGAACGAGAACTGGAGTGTTATTATTGGCGAACTTCGTGAGGGTATAGTTAAATCTTACAGCCAAATATTCTCGTCGATTGCACAGTCCCTTGTAAGTAAGGTTCCCGTCAACGATATTTTCCCGAGTTAACTACAACGTGTATTACTAGGTGTGAAGTTACGATTAATTAGTAAAGTTTGTTACAGTTAAAATTGAGTTTTTTTTAAGTTGTTTATTTGTGCTCCTTACATAATAATAAATAAAATACATAAATCGATACACACTTCAATACCTAACAATGAAAAATACCGCAATTATATCAAATCGTATTCTTGTTGGGAAGCTATTTTCTTTTGGCATCTTATTGCAATTACTACTTTTAATAAGAATAAACCACAATTTAAGTTTACAGTAAATTATTTTTTGACGTTTCGATTTCCGTTTCGGAAATCGTTCTCAAAATACAAAATATCGATAAATTAAAGAAAATTTTGTATTTTGTTACTTGCTGAAAAATTTCGACTATAATGTGACATGAATTTGTTAGACTCAACATGTGGTTCCTTTTGGAAAGGATTTTAACTCGAAGTGTGATGTATGAAAATTTCCAAAGTTCTCGTTGAAATGAATATAGGGATATAATTTTGGAGTATCAAGGTAGAACCGATCATCATCATCATCAGTGGTGCTACAGCTCTAGTTGAGCCTTGACCTTCCCCAGTCTATTTCGCCAGTCGTTTCTGTTCATCGCCAACCGTTGCCAATTTGCCTCGCCGATTTTCCTTGCGTCCTCATCCACACCGTCCCTCCATCTCAGTCGTGGTCTGCCTCTACTCCTATTTCCCACTGGGACCGATAATAGAGTTCGTCTGGGTGGGTAATTTTCATTTGCTCTTGACACATGTCCAGCCCATCTAAGCCTACCTATTTTTATGAAGGATATTACATCTCTACCATTTACTATTTTTTTATAGAACCGATTTATTTAAGGTAGAACTGATGTTCTACCTTAAATAAATCGGTAGCTGTTTTTTCCTAGAGGACAAAAGAATGTCAGTACGCCTGTTCATGGAGTTTTTTCTCTTAATTTGTGGCACATTTCCAGGAAGGAGATAGAGTGGGTACTGAGAGCACAAGAGTTCTTGTTGCATCTGATATCACTTTTATGGGATATAACACGCCCTTTAAGGGTTCTTTTCGTTTGACCAATATACTTCAAATGACAGTCTTTGCATGGAATGTTATATACTACATTTGATTTCTCCCAAATATCTACAGGTGTTTTGGTACGTGAAAAGAGATTTTCAACTGTTTTACAATTTTTAATGCCTATTTTAGTAGACAGGGGTTTAAACAATTTGTATTAATTGTAATACAAATTTGTTTGTATACAAATGTGTAATACATATTGTAATAATGTATTTTATAACATCTCAACATATGCATTTGACATTGTTTGACATCTATATATGACTTTACAATCATTAGAACTGAAGAAGTGCAGAAATACTGCACGAAACGTTTTCTATTAAAAGATTGAAATAGTTTTTTGTTTGTGAAAATTATTGTTATGATATGTAAAATCGAGGAAAATATTGGTTTGCTTAAAATATTTCAAAGTTCCAAAAAAATTAAAATAATTTAGATAAGTAGGATAATAAACAACAAACATTTCGAAGAATGAAAGTCTTTTAATTTTGGATTACCTGTATTGAACAAAACGTCAGATATGCGTAAATTATTTTCTCTGTTAAAATATATTTGAGTGACCTGCATAAGCTTAAGTGAAATCCTAGACAATGGAAGCGGGTTTTCCAAATAAATTTGTGCAGTAATTAGGACAATAGAATAGATTGTAGAAAGATATGTTTTTGTTAGTTCATAAGAATTGGTAGAAAAAATTATTTTGTAAATAAGTTTTAGGAAATTTTATAATTGTAGGTAAAAATTTGTTTGTGTTATCGAAATGAAGAAATGGGAGATGTATGAAGCGTTTTGATTGGATGACGCGTTTGAGAATGAGACGTTAGTCAGTTTTGGAAGAAAAAAATGATAGTCAGTTGGTTTCCAAGGGTGCAAGGCGAACAGCCGTTGTTCTTGGGTAGTGTCCCAGAGGTAGGAAGCAGCAGCAGTGAAAGTTTGTGAGTTTTCGTGTAGTTAGTGTATCTGACAGAAGCTGATCCAGTAAAAGATTGTAAGTCATATTTTTCTACTTATATTCCAAGAGTTACTGTTCAGGCCAACGAGAGATTCAGTTTATCGTAAAGAGAAGATATTCCAAGAGTCATTTTTCACTCAGGCCAACGAGAAATTCAGTTTATCGAGAGGAGAAGAGGCTAGCATAATTTGAACGATTCGTGCATTTGAAGGAGATCATTAAGGACGATAAACTTACAACAATTTGTTGTAAGATTGCTGATTACCTAGGAAGCTGCTAAGAATACTTAGTATAGGCTACAAGGAACAAGGATTTGGACCACTCATCATCAGAGAGAGATAGTTTTATTTCTGCAGTTTTTCTTTTATTGAGAACACAATTTTTACAATTACTTTAGAAAAGAGATAAATATTTTGATTAGGAGATTTAGAATAATAATTGGGATTTTGCGATTTTAACTAATATTGTTTGTACCATTAATTTTGAAGGTTCACATACGTAGAACAAAATTTTGAGAATCATCATACCTATGAGATATTGTTTATTGAAAACATTTGAGTGTGAATTTTAGTTCAATATATAATGTTATATCATAGATGTTTTTTTTTTTATTCCGGTATTCTTTGGACCTTACCTTTCACTTGTAAAGCATAGATATTGAAGCACGAATATAACACTGAGATAAGAGACTTAAAAAGTGTGATAGAATCATAATCATATCATTTAAATAATTTTAATTAATTAATTAATTAGCTAATTAATTGCTTGGCGCACTAAGACTTTGAATATCACAATAATATATATATATATATATATATATATATATACAGATATATATATATATATATATATATATATATTATATATATATATATACAAGACCCTTTGCGGACTGCCCTTTGTTTTGGCAGCATGCGTCCAGTGCGCGAACAGCACTCCTGAAAGGATCGGCAATGGGATTACTTAAACCTTACAAAATATTATGAGGAAAAAAAAATTAAAACAACTTAATGAAACAAAGTTTTTATATCATGTTTAATTATGTAAAAGTAATTTCGTTACATCAGGTATTTTAAAAACGTAATAAAACTAAACTATGTAAATATTTTTCAAGATTTTCTCTTTAAAATATTTCTCACATTTCAACAGAAATTGTATAAAATCTGGAATGTTTCCAAAGGGATTTGTTGTTAGTAAAAATTTACTTTTTAATAATAAACATACATTTTTCAAAAGCATATCCGTATCGTTCGCCTTTATTGTTAATAAATTCTAAATTTAAATATTCCGTCGAGAAATGGAAATCAAACGGTTCATTTCAGAGACACTTTAATTTAATTGCTGTTCCTTTACGATTCGTTTTATTTAAATATAAAGCGTTTCAATATAGTCAAGTTCCAGTAGGTTGAGGAATAATTTCGTTATTTCTTCCCAATCTTGTATTCTATTAGATATTAAGATAAAAATCTTAGAAAGCGAAAATATATAGATAACCAATAAAGATTTGTATTTTTTTTAAATAAATGGTTTTTGAAAAGCTCAGCATTGAAATTCACGGGTATTCTCAAGGACAAATTGGAAAAGCAAATCACTAATGCTGAAGAACAACAAGGTTTTACAAAAGGGCGGTCTATAACAGACGCAGTATTTATAATAAAACAAATAAAAGAAAAAGCTATAGAGTTCGGCATGCCAGCGTATATTTGCTTCATTGATTTGACGAAGGCATTTGACAGAGTTCGCCTGGGAGACATTCTAAATATATTAATAGAAAATGAAACACCGACCAGTATAACAAAGATACTCCATAAACTAAATAACAACAACGTAACCAAAGTTAGAGCAGGAGACGAATTCACTGAAAATATTCCAACACCGGGAGGAATTAGACAAGGCGACAGTTTAAGTTCCTTCTTGTTTAATCTTCTCATGGGCAAAATTATCAACAAAGTAACATCTCTTAATCTCGGATATAGAATGGGCAACAAAAGAATTGGTATGGTGTGTTACGCAGACGATGCAGCAATTATTGCCGAATCAGAAGATGATCTCCAAAGGCAGCTCTTTCAGTTCTTTCAAACAAGCCGACTACTAAATATGAACATCTCTACCAACAAAACTAAATGTATGACAATAGCAAAAGATCCGCTCAGATGTAAGTTAGTGGTTGAGGACAACCCCATAGAACAGGTGATGCAATTCAGATATCTGGGCATAGATATATCAAGCACCCACGACCCAGTAAAGAACCTGAGGAGTCAGATCAACAAAGCATCTGCACTGTCAGGATGTCTGCGGGAGATAGTCTGGTCAAATCCGTATATGCGCACAGATAGTAAAATTAGAATCTATAAGACTTGCATACGACCGATCATGACATATGGCATAGAAGTGCGCGAAGATACTAACAAAACGAAACAGATGCCAAGGGTTGCCGAAATGAAAACCCTAAGAACAATAATGGGGAAAACAAGAAGAGACAGAGCGAGAAATACAAACATTAGAGAGCAGTGCAAAATTCAAGATATTGTAAGATGGGGAAGGCAGCGCAAGAGGATGTGGTACAACCATGTAAGACGAATGGATGAGAATAGACTCCCAAAAATTGCCCTAGAAAACAATCCGCCCGGTTCAAGACCCCCCGGAAGACCACCTAAAAGATGGAGGGATAGTTGGCAATCTACCTCCCAAGAAATTAACCAGAGGCAGCTTCAGAATTAAACAGATCGAAAGATCTACAAAAAGTAGAAGAAGAAGAAGCATTGAAATGCAGTTATGTCATAAAGCATCAAATCCACAATATAAGTAAATATAAATATCTCAGACTTGAGCTACCGTACTGTAGCAAGTGTGCCAAAAGAAGCAAGACCGTCGATTGTTTCGAGAAATATACATTTCATTCATTACAAATATTACATATTGTATTTAACACGAAAATTATTGGTATCGCCACATCAATAAATGTTGTTTGCCTGTTAAGTTTATTAAATAGTATGACATTGAATCTATTATGTGCTATTGGTTGGTCTGTGAGCACAATGTTGTCCCAGTTTAGCTTGTAGTTATCATTTTCAAGTATTCTCTCAGGGACGTATTGATAATAAGAAAGATGGTCGGTTTGGAGAAGTCACAGTTTGTCAATTAGTTCTTGGTGGATAATTTTCCTACTCCTACCTAAAAAGTCATGGAGTTCTTTATAATCAGTACCAACAAACGCCTGACAGCTCCCGGTAAGATGTTAGATCATTTCTTGGGCTTGGCATCCATACATTCTGGACTTAAGAATCTTTACTAATATATTTCAAGTAATTTTCAGTTGGACTAACCTGATCCTGACTATCATACTGATACTAATACTGATAGGAAAACCTCAGTCTCGGAAAACATCTTTCCTGATGTCATATAATAGTTCGACGCTGTATTGTCGACATATTCTTGGCTGATCTCATTGAGATGTCACTCAGCCAGTTGCGCATTTTTTCTTGCTTAGTTAGGTTGTTTATGCACATTTCTTGTTCCTCCAGTTTAAACGGCGTTGTATCATCTACTGGGCAAATTGAATTAGCAATCCATTTATACAGTTGCTCAACTATGTTCATAAGTCCTATTTCTCCTTTATATCGCGGTAACGTTTTTCTCTCTACTGCACTACGTGCAGTAAGACTACTACTTCACGTAGTAAAGACTACTTAAAATTCCCTGGACAGATCACACAACAAATGTCGAAGTATGAAATAGAATTGGCAGAGAACGAGAATTGCTGCCAATAATAAAAATAAGAAAAACTGCTTATCTGGTTCATACATTTCGAAGTTCCAAGTACCAGTTCTTAAAGCTTATTATGAAAGGGAAGATAGAAGGAAAACGAGACATCGGAAGAAAGAAATACCCATGGCTTAAAAACATAAGGGATAAGACAAATCTCGATGCCCATGCACTTTTTAGAGCCATACAAGATCGAAAGGAGTATTCCAGAATTGTCGCCAATATCCACTAATTGGATAGGGCACCATAAGAAGAAGCACTACGTGGGTGATGTTTTTGCGCCTTTGGAGAATTATTTTAGTTTCCACTGGAGACTGTCTATATCCGTTTTTAACAATTTTATAATGCCAAATAAATAACTAAGCGCGGAACAGGCTTACCTATTTAATGCCTTAAACAAATGAATAGATCATATCTTTGCTATTAAGATATGACCTATTTAGTTGTCTTACTCTTCGCCGAAACTCAGAAGTTAGTTCAGTTTTCATTAGTTTATGGGTACATTTTTCGTGCTTGCTGTACTCTATATATTTTCCATATATTGGATAATAAGTTGTTCTTTGCAACCCATGAAACCCTTAGCGCATCCTATCTGTTAAGGCTCTATAATATTGTTTAGAGCACAGTGTTGGTAGATACGCTGGGCTACACAGGATGAGACGAATTTATACAAAGTTGGAAGACAAGTAATTGAGCGGCACTTGTCTCGATCTTCGATGTTATGTTGATCCTTTGTTATTAGATAAGTGGTTCCCTGTGCAAGAAATAACACTATTTCCTGCGGATTAGAGATAACACGATTAATCAACATTGATAAACACTCATGAACATTTGAAAACTTCTTAGGCCAGAAGTTTTCAACTTCGCCTGGTCCAGGAGATTTCCAGTTATTAATATAAATCCTCTTTGATAGTATTATAGAATTAAATTTCCTTGCTAATTAATGCAGAGAAACTCTTTCTCTGCATGCTTAAGTATGTTGTCGCGTTTCCGGTTGATACTAACTTTGTATCTTCTTAGGCGGCCTGAATGATAGAAAGTTTTTGCTTTAACGTGACTAGGCATTGTTGAGATGTGTTCTTTTCTGGATGTCGTGATTGTCTTAGAGTGGGTATTAAGTAATATTTCTTCAGCTCTGTTAATGATTTTTCTACTTCTTACTCCTCGTATGCATTCCATTATTTGTCCAATATCTCTACGCAGTAATTATAATATTATTATTATTTCATTATTCATATATATATATATATATATATATATATATATATATATATATATAAGATGGTGGTATTCTTGACTGTTGATTTAAATATAAGTTATGATAATTTAATAAAAAAATTTTATTATATTTATTATGGTTTGTTTAGTAGAGTACAATATTAAAAACTGTAATCTCACGACTAGTAAGTAAGAAAATTAACAATTTTAACTAGTTAATTTATATTTCTTTTTATAGATGTCTTGAAAAAGAATTAAATAAAAATTCGAAAGCTTGACAGTAAGTCAAAGAGTTTTCTTTGTCTTGTGGGCCAAATAAACTGACTGCATCCTCAAAAATCATAACTTATATATATATATATATATATATATATATATATATATATATATATATATATATATATATATATATATATATATATAATTCTTTGGAGGATAACTTTCGGGAAAGCGTCAAAACAAGGATCAGCTAGAGATGGTATAAGCCAGTTTGGTGTAGAACTTTATTCTAAATGTGAAATTTTCGGTGATATGTTGTCACCTTCATCAGCACATTGAAAATGTTCAGTTGGTCCTAGAGGTGAAGAACACTGTCACAAACATGTTAAAAATATTAAAAAATACATTTAAAATTTTGAATAAAAACATTACAACACAACAGGGTATTATTTAAATTTAAAAATTACCCTTTTTGTTGTGTTTGTATTTTAAATAATACCCTGTTGTGTTGTAATGTTTTTATTCAAAATTTTAAATGTATTTTTTAATATTTTTAACATGTTTGTGACAGTGTTCTTCACCTCTAGGACCAACTGAACATTTTCAATGTGCTGAAGAAGGTGACAACATATCACCGAAAATTTCACATTTAGAATAAAGTTCTACACCAAACTGGCTTATACCATCTCTAGCTGATCCTTGTTTTGACGCTTTCCCGAAAGTTATCCTCCAAAGAATTGTATTCTTAGCGTCGTTATACAAACCCTATATATATATATATATATATATATATATATATATATATATATATATATATATATATATATATATATATATATATATATATATATATAGTATATTTTGTTATAGTATGACTTCTTTAACTACTTATTTTTATTGTATATCTTCATATTCTTTTAAATTTTTACTTTTAACTCCAAACATTTAAAATTACACTTTCTCAAAAGACCAAATTCTTGAGGTCTTATGAAAAGACCAACTTCTTAAGGTCTTATCTAATTATCGCATCTGTCAATAAGGATATTCACGTGTGTCCTAACAGTCAAATTACAGCGTTAAAATCTAATTTATTACGTGCAACCATTAGAAAGATCATTGGACCAATTAGGTAAGAGGATTTGTCCTTATAAAACGATCAGTAGTTAACATGACCTTAAGATGATCACGTGTAGCATCGAAGATGTCCCTTCTCCTTGTTGAACGCGTCTAGAGCGATCATCCTTTTCTTATAGCATAGAGACGCAGACACTTTGACCATATGTTGCCTTTCATCATTCTGCTACATAGAGTATTCAAGACGTAAATTAGTTTTTTCTGAATTCCATTATTGTTCTACACGTATTTCGAGTTATTCAACTTCTCATCAGGAACACTTGTGGAAGTTTAAACTGAAATGAAGTGCAGTCTAGTATTTGGTAATTATTATTAAAATACCAGCCTGGTACGCTAGCAGCGGCATTTATACGAAGTAACAAGAGTTAACAAGCTGAATAACTCGAAACACGTGTAGAGCAATGGTAAAATTCTAATTAAAATGAAATGAAAACTTCTATTTTAACGTTTTTTTTTTCTAGGTAAAGAGCAAAAAAGATGGTGTTGATGGTATATATATATGATATATATATATATATATATATATAAAGATAAAATAAAAAATAACATAAAAAAAATTCTATTTATAATTATTGATGAAAACTAAAGTTATTAAGTTACTAAAATTCTAAAATTTTTAATTTACCTGTCAACAATCCGGTACCAACAGCAACGGCAATAGTTATAGCCAACCCAAATAGTTGATATCCAGCTTGTTCTCCTGCATTGCGGCCAGTTGTTGCGTCTCTAGCAGGATATACACTATACAAGTCTGCACCATACAACTCCTCAGTTGCTATGCCTGCCATTAACACGCTAAAAAGACCAGATAATATACCTGGCATTCCGTGTAGGTTGTGAACTCCGCAAGTGTCCGGAATCCCCAAACGCTTCTCTATCAATGGCTATAAAATTTTAAAAAAATTAGCGGAACCTTAAGAATAATAAGAAAATAGTAATAATCTAAATGTTACGGTAGAATTGGGCAGGACACATTTTTTACAATAATTTTAAAGAGGTATGTAATTTTATATATTTTAAAGAGCGATGTAAAGAGGAATTACAATTTTTTACAATAATTTTAAAGAGCTATGTAATTTTATGTATTTTAAAGAGGGATGTAAAGAGGGATTACAATTTTTTACAATAATTTTAAAGAGGTATGTAAGTTTATGTATTTTAAAGAGGGATGTAAAGAGGTATTACAATTTTTTGCAATAACTTTAAAGGTGGGTTAAATGATGAATGTGGCTGCAAAAAAGTTAAATTCCTTTGCACATTAGCATGTACTAAATATCAGCGTCAGCCGTGCTGTCATGTTGAATCGTCATCAGACGAGGGTTCGTAAAATATCAGAGGCTGATGGATTGCTACTAGGACAATGTACTTGCACCTAGTAGAAAGTAGAAGGATGCAGTACTAATTTCCAATAGTACTGTTTTTGATTATTGAATATTATTCTATTCAATTCAAAGAGAAATAAAAAAAGAACAATGTCAAGAAATAGAGGAGTATCGGAGTCAAAATTATAACTTCAATGTTCATCGAAAGGTGAAAGAAATAGCTGAAAAGTTCCGAAGCCGCAGCAGCGTAAAAATAACAGATGATTAAGGCAATCTTGCCATAACCAAAGAAAATTAAAACAAGTATGGAAAGAATACGTGGAGAAACTTTTCCATGACCTTAGAACAATACAAGAGCCCATCATTGAAGAAAATTCAGGTCCCGAAACCCTACCAGAAAAAATAACGGCAGCCGTTAGACAAATGAAGGATGGAAAGGCACCGGGACTTGATGAAATTTCTGCAGAACTGCTGAAGATATTAGATGCAGAACTTATTTGTTCTGCATCTAATAATAAGTGAAACATTTAATGAACTATACAACAGGAAAGATACCATTAGAGTGGCTGAAATCGGAGTTCGTACCATTGCCCAAAAAACAGGAGCAAAAGTTTGTGAAGACTATAGAACCATAAGCCTAATGAGCCATCTGCTAAAGCTGTTTTTAAAAGTAATCCACAAAAGAATTTACCGGAAATACGAGGAATTAATTGCGCCCAATCAGTTTGGATTTTGTGAACGCTGTTGGTATGAGGTAAGCTTTACTTAGCGTGCAGGTATTGTTTCAGAAATGTAGAGATGTCAGCTGTAATGTTTTTGCATGCCTGATTGACTAAAAGAAGGCTTTCGATAGAGTCAGGCATGAACAAATGATGGAAGTGCTGAAGAGGACAGGAATTGACGAAAGAGACTTGAAAATAATAGCTAACCTGTATTGGAATCAATCAGCGGTGCCCCAAATAAATAACGAATATACAGATCAGATCAAAATCTTGAGGGGAGTGAGATAGGGGTTCATAATTTGACCACCGATATTCAATCTGTACTCGAAACACATTTTTAAAGATATTGGTGAAGGCATCTCAATAAATGGAGTCAAGCTCAATAACCTGCGGTATGCAGATGACACAATAGTGTTTTCTAATACCATAGAAGGGCTGCAAAACTTAATGAACAAAATAAAGGAAACAAGTAGAACATATGGACTGGATGTAAACACCAGCAAAGCCAAGCTAATGATCATCAGCAAGGAAAACATAACTGAAGCAAATCTGTATGTGAACCAAATGAGAACTGAACGTGTCTCACAGTACAACTACTTGGAAACTATAATTAACAAGTCGTGGTACAATACCCAAGAGATTAAATGTCACATCGGAAAGGCAAAAAGCGCATTCTTGACTATGAGTTCTGTGTTCAAGAGCCATGACCTCACCCTAGAAACAAAAATAAGACTTAGTTAAATGTTACGTATACTCAGTGCTTCTGTACGGAGTAGAAACGTGGACATTAAAGGCGAAACCTCTATCAAAACTTCAGGCTTTTATGTTGTGGTTATACAGCTCATCCGTATATGGACAGACAAAGTCACCAATGAAGAGGTACTGCGGAGGATTTGGTCAACATCGTGAATGGCCATAAGCTGCAGTACTTGGGACATATAATAAGAAATCAAGGCAGATACGAGCTACTCCAATGTATTTTGCAACGTAAAATTGAAGGAAAAAGGGCCCCAGGATGAAGAAGAATATCCTGGCTTGCTAACCTGAGAGCATGGTATAGAAAGACCTTAACACAGCTAATCCATATAGCAACCAACAGAGTTATCATAGCCAGAATGATCGTTAACGTTCGGAAGGAACAGGCATCCCAAAAAGAAGAAACATAGTCACAATGAATAGTGGAATAGGCCTACCTATTAGTATAAAATTTAGTAAAGTAAGTGGATCAGTAAAAAGAATTGACAATAAGGCTGTCAAAAAAATTGGACGTTTCTATATACTTACTGATAAACGACTATATCCATAAACGGAAATCACTCCGGCAAGTATGCCTATGGCTACAGCTCCTAAAGGCTGAATCATGAGATTCGCTGCAGCTCCCACTGCGACACCACCCGCTAGAGTTGAATTTTGAACATGAACCATGTCGAACTTTTTCTCATGCGTTAGTAACATGGAAGCTGCAAAAGCTGTGATCGTGCAAGCAGCTAGAGAAAGATACGTATTGACGATAGCCATGCTCTTTTGGCTACCTTCTAATTCTATGGCGTTAAAACTAGGCCAATAAATATACAGGAACACAGTACCTGTAACAATTACAAAATAAATATTTAATTTCATTACATTAAACTTTAAAATGTATAGTCTCTAGAAGTATCGGAAAAAGAAAGCAGAATTATAATTTTACTATATTTATTTCTACAACTTGAAATATAAAATTTCAACAAATAATTTATCTTCTTTACTTATACAACCTCTATTTAAATCTAAACATTTAACTAAACGTCCAGGTATACCCGAAACTAGGTCAAGGTAATATTTTTCGGTAATGGTGTTCCAGGCTTGTAAAACTGACCGAATCAAACCTTCTTTATCTCGTGGCGCTGGTCATTCCACTTCAATCTTCATCAGTCCCCATATGTTTTAATGGACTAAGATTGGAGATGCTGCTGGCCACGGAATTGTTGGCAATTCGTCTTCTTGCATCCAAGCTTGAGTATAAGCAGAAGTATCGCACCTTGCATTATCTTGCTGAAAACGCCACCTGTCTGGATATAAAACATGAGCCGTTTCAAGAAGAAAATCATTTCTGCTCCTCCTCAGTCCTAATTCCTTTTGGGATGTGGTGACACCATCAGACCTTTACAGTTTTTTTACGATTTACCTTCATCCTTCTCTGTCCTAGGCTAGTTGTTCGGCTTCATGTAACCCTTGGTTAATCAATATTTTTATTTGATCTACCCAACGGCTTGGAGAACTTCCCCTAGGTCTCTTTCCTTCAACTCTATCCTCGACTATCAGTTTTTCTATCGTACCTGTTCTTCGAGCAATGTGTCCAAAATACTGCAAATATCTCTGTTGTATTTGTTTAAGCAATCTATCCTTTACTTTAAGTTGTTCTAATATCGATACGTTAGTGCGATGATCAATCCAGGATATTCTCAACATGCGGCGGTATACCATCATTTTAAAAGCGTCCACTTTATTTTTATCCGCTTTCTTTAAGATCCACGTTTCGGATACATATGTGGCTATGGGAAAAATGAGCGCCCTTACCAGCCCTAGTTTTGTGTGTATTGTTATGCTAGAATTTTTCCAAAGGCTAGTTTCATCAAACGTACAATAGTCAACCTTCTACGTATCTCTCTCTCTCTCACACTCCTCCGTTATTTGTTATTAGGGACCCCAGGTATATGAAATTATTTACTACTTCGAAGCCCCCAATTTCTTTAATGTGTTCAAGATTATTCCGAGCTCTGTCTACTATCTTAATCTTTATATTACTCTTATTTAGCTTTAGTCCATATGTTTTTTTCCTCCAGACATCTCATTATGTCTTCCATTTTACAGGAGAGAGAATGATTCTCTCAATCTTCATTCTCTCTCCTGTTGCCGATAAGAATGTAGAGCGTAGAATAATTTTTAAATAATTTTAAACTGTTTGTCCTTGTTTTAGTGTAGTGTTATGTACAATTTATGTTCAGTTTCATGTTTATTACATTCTGCTTGCTGGATAGCCCAAATTTGACGAAATGCCCCTGATGATGCTGTAGAAAGCGAAAGTACTTGGGCAAGATTTGATTATTCAAATTGTGCTCGATATTTACCTTTATTTTTTCAAAGATTATTAAAATTATCTTCTCGAAAACGTTGACAAAAATCTATTCTTCGTTGTCTTTGCAGAGGTGTTATTATAGTGATTTTTTTTTGGATTCCTTGATATGTAGCCTTGCTTCTTCAGTGAGATGCGGACAGTTTCTGAGCACACTTTTATTGTTCGTTGATTTCAATATCTGTTTGCTAATTTTCGAAACCCTAAGAGTATCTTGAGTAAATTGTTTCCGCGTATCTTACGCGGTCTACCCGAAACTGGTCGATGTCTCATATCTATGCCATTTTTTATCCTCTTTATTGTCTCATTCTCTGCACTTTTTCCGAGTTCAGTTAACTGCACAAATTTTTTAACATTTCGGACACCCTTTCTATATAAATATTTCACAATTTTTTTTTTCTACTTCGACATTATTTCACAATATAAGTCGTTACAAACAACAATATTTCACAGATGGTGTTGTCATGCGATTTTATCCATAACCTACTATCGGCACAACCTACTTGATGCATTACTTTTGTCTTAAAATGTTAGAAAAAGGAAATCTATTAATTAGCAAAAATATAAAATTCTGGATACTTTTTAGACAGACTATAATATAAAAACATAATTTAATAAAGCACAATCACAAATTTTAATTTTAGAGAACAAAAAAAACCATTAAGCCTTAATATATTGATTGTTTATGAGCCACCACACAATATTGACTGCTCTTTTTGGAGTTGATTTAAGTTTGCGAATGCATATACACAGTTAATTGTATCTCAAAATAAATCCAATCAGTATATCGTAATACTCAACGAAACAAACGGGACAAAATCAAAACTAGTTGCATAAGTTTCTAAGCTTTCTATGCAGTTTGTTTGTCTTCTATTTTAGTTCCCTTAACTAGATTCAATCACTCTATGCTCAAATAGTAACTAAGCACGTCGAATACGTAAGGTTGGTACACAAATAAAAAAATTTGAAAAAACTCGTGATTTGCAACTAAAATGTCACGTGGGCTTTATTGAAACATTTCTGTGAAACACAATAAAACTAAAGTACATCTTTTCGCAATATATAAATTAAAATTCCACGAAGAAACTAAGTTCCTGTAGCTGGCTGTATACCATATATCACAAAAAATTTTGTTAAAAATCCTTTATAAAAGGTATATAAAAATGCCTCAAACGGGCTATCACAAACACATTGCAAAACGTTTTCGGATTAAACAATCCATCATCAGTGCAAACGGTTGTACATGCTAGTAGCCACCAAAATATATGGGTAAAAACCCTTTAAATGTTATAAATTTGAAATTGTTTTACAATATTAGTATTTCTAATTTGTGATGGTTAAGTTACCGTTGGATAGGTAACATGGCGGCGTATGACTCTACATGAGTAAAATGGTCCTGACTAATCCGAAAACGTTTTGCAATGTGTTTGTGATAGCCCGTTTGAGGCATTTTTATATACCTTTTATAAAGGATTTTAACAAAATTTTTTATATAAATTAAGTTTTTCTCATATTTTTTTTTGTAATAACTTTTCGTTTTAGATAAATGTTATTTTGCAGTATATGGTTACTATTTGATAACCAAAACTTTAGAATTATGTTCTTTATTATTAAGCAAAGATATTGTTCTTTATTGCTTGCTATTATTGAGCAACGAAATCGAATAATTACAGTATCATTACCATGTTTTTATTGCCATGCAAAAGTCGCAAAAAGGGCTCGGTTTAACTCGAACGCACAGGTAGTGTTAGGAAATGTTATTCAGTTCAAAGTCCCTTTGACACTGAACAAAGACCTTTTTTTATCAGAAAATTAACAGAATATAATTTAACTGGTAACATATTCCAATAAGAAATGTAAAATTTGATGTTTTCAATTATTCTCTTCTTCTCTTTTTTACAGTATTGATAGTGCCTGGTAGACCATTTTATTGTAGTCAACCACCCACTGTCTAATAGATTGTTTAGTCCATTTCTTTCATTCACACTTTATGTTCACTTCATTTGCTCTCAAACTTACAACCTTATTATTACAGACGGGTGTGAGTGTGAGATCTGGATTATGCAATCTAATTAAATCAAAATATTCTATATGTCATATTTCATAAGCTGATTTTATATAGTAGTTTTAGTTGGAGCTTTGGTCAATGTCAGCTTACTTACACAGAATTTAATATGTGCAGATCACATATCCATGACTGTGACTACCCATGAAAGCTGTCATATGTCACATGTCACCTTAGCATTTCCGTTAAATACCATTCTCTCTCCTGTTACTGACAAAGAATGTAGAGCGTAGAACCATTTTAATTAATTTTAAACTGTTTGTCCTTGTTTTAGTGTAGTGTTTTGTACAATTTTGTTAAAATTCATGTTTGTCACATTCTACGCTTGCTGGATAGCCCAAATTTGACGAAGTAAGTCTAAAACGTTAATCACAAAAAACTTTTATAATCCATTAACTTCGAGTTTTCATCGAAGTTAATTAATTTCCTTCATTAAAAAAAAAACGTTTTTCGGCTTATTTCAGATGCTCCTGAAGATGCTGTATTAAGCAAATCTTATAAGCCAAGCGAAAGTACTTGGGCAAGATTTAATTGTTAAAATTGTGCTCGATATTTGCCTTTCATTTTCAAAGTTCATTTATTCGAGCATTCAACCTTATATCAATACATATTATGTTAATATTTAGCAATACATATGCTAATATACAATACGTATACAACTATTATTTCTGAGATATTGGAGCACTATTTAAAAGAGGGAATTTCATGTAAATGAAAGAAAACTAGCGAAAATTGCAAAAAAGATAAATGGCTAGGGGAAAAGGAATCTATCTTACTTCGGTAAAACTACTTGTAGGCAAAAGAAATGAAAAATGTTGCCACTTTGGCATCAGATGTAGCAATATTCAGAAATCCAAAACATGCCTTACGTTGGGCGCCATTTTGTAACTATAATTTTGCCTACCACATTGAGATCAATATTCTTCTTTGGGTGCCGTCTTCAATGAAGGTTGGCGATAACCTTAGCTAAATCATTTCTGTCCCTGGCTTTTCTTATTAAAGATTGAGAATCCAAACCAGTCCACTCACGAATGTTCTTCAATCAGGACGCCTGCCGTCTACCAGGCGATCAATATAGGGGGTTGAAAATTGGGGACAGATGTTACTGAAGTGGAGATAGGGTAAGCAAAACAAACCGGAACTTTTGCGAACGGCTTCTTTGGTTTCTTCTTCTTCTTCGTCTAGCCATTCACGTCCACATCTGAACATAAGCCTCTTCAAGTCTTCCTTTCCATTGTTTTTTATTGTACGCTACTTGTAGCCAATTTTTCCCGGTAGTCCTTTTCAGATCATCTGTCCATCTCATAGGAGGTCTGCCTCTGGGTCTTTTGTGTTGGTATGGTCTCCAGGTTAAAATTGATCTGTGCCATTTGTTTAGATCGCTCCTAGCTACATGTCCAGCGTATTCC